GATGGATTGCAAAGTTTTGTCAAAAGACTGTTTGACAACACTGACTTCTCTTAGCAGTATTATAGATCTGCTGGTCTATAGATCCCCCCCCCCCCCCCCACACGCACTTTTCACATTAATTTTCATGATAATTAAGTTATACAATACTTAAATAATTTGGGATTCATATTTTTTATGTGAGGACTGATCCTCTCGATACAACAGTTTTTTTGTTTTTGTTGAAAATTCAGTGTTTAGTTGCTCATGTTTAAACAATTAGAAACATTAAAATATATTTATGATTTTTTTTAGGTGCTTTGTTGCACATAAAAGAGATGAATGTAAAAGAGATGTTTTGCATAGTATTTATTTATGAGAATACAAGAAATTAGAAAAGTAGCATTTTCCAAGCTTGGCCGACATGAAAGGAAGAATGTCCTCTCACATCTATAATGGAAGATCAGGTGAAGTAAATTTAGTACTGTATTTGGATCTTCCTGATTTCTTAAAATCAGCACTAAAAAGTAAAGAGACGTCCTCCAAACAAACATGTACTGGGAGCATCTAATGACTGGTAACAAAGTGCACCCCGTTGAAATAATCAGTGCTATTTTGTTTTAGATGGATTCAAATTCTGAGTTCAAACTTTACAGACATTTTTTTTTATGTAGATTTTTGCACCATTATTTGCTTTCCCTTGCATGCTGAGCTTGAATGAATGACGTATGGTTGCACACCAGTCTGTCAGTCTGTTATTTTAGTGACATTTTGCAAACATGACAATGAACAAAAAATAAATCCTTTACATCAGACAGATTAAATGCAAACTAAACTCAAGCTAAACTCAAATTAACTACACTACGGTTGCATAACTTCAATGTCACCATCATTAAGCTTCTGACAACTCTTCCGGTCTTTATTTAAAAACAATGTCCCTTAAAGTTTGAGTTAGAATAGTTTGCAAGAGTGTTATAAACACAACGAGGCTGTGAAAGTGGACTAGTCGATGACAAGTCCAGTATGGAGTACCACAAGGCTCAGTACTAGGACCGTTGCTTTTCACCCTGTACATGCTACCATTGGGAGATATCATTAGGAAGCATGGCTTTAGTTTCACTGTTACGCTGATAATATTTTATGTGAAAATATCTTGAGCACCACAGACCTTATTTCAGGCGTTTAACCAAAAACCCATTGACTTCAGGATGATGAAACCGTAAGTGCTAAAATGCAAGTTGTTTCCAGATTTTGACCTACAAAAATACATACATCATCCGTGCAGCCTAGACCTTATGCCTGCGGTTAAAGGTCTGGCACGTCGTGACAAACGGTGCCCGGAAAAAGTAGGATGCGTGGGTTTCAGTGTCCGTCTCGCTTCATAGAGCTGGTGAGCAGCAGATTGCGTGATCCTATGTAACGCTAACCACAGGCTGTGGGGAAAATACATTAGCAAAACTACTTCAGGAATTAAAAAATGAATGAGGCCTGCAGTGATTCTGAGGCATATGCGTGACAGGCATGGATTCAACATTCACACCATTCTTTCCTCGGATGCATAACTCAGGAAAATATATTGAGTGATGTGGATTAAATTCTCTGTACACTCAGAAATGTGAGGCTTAATGAATGCATAATTTCCAGTGGCATCTGCATTTGGGGGACTGTGGTGCATCATTTTGAATGCTTTTTAAAGAATAATATAATTTGTTTACAAAATACACTTCTTATATGTTCCTTACACATGACATCAGCGGTGTTATTGTGGAACTTTAATTGATAATTACTGTGTGTGAAGCTGTTATAGTCATTTCTGAACAAAGAAATAAATAAACTGTCTAAAACTGTATTGGTGGGCTCCTAAAAACATCCCTTTCATTTATAATATAAAATATATATTATACCTTTGTCTTTGCGACAAAAGGCAGTATGTATATAGGCTACATGACATATACAGTTTATACGGGTGAAACTCGAAAAATTAGAATATCGTGCAAAAGTTCATTTATTTCAGTAGGCTATAATTCAACTTAAAAGGTGAAACTAATATATTATATAGACTCATTACATGCAAAGTGAGATATTTCAAGCCTTTATTTGTTATAATCTTGATGATTATGATTCACAGTTTATGAAAACCCCAAATTCAAAATTAGAATATTGTGAAAAGGTTTTCATAAGCTGTAAGCCATAATCATCAAAATTATAACAAATAAAGGCTTGAAATATCTCACTTTGCATGTAATGAGTCTATATAATATATTAGTTTCACCTTTTAAGTTGAATTACTGAAATAAATGAACTTTTGCACGATATTCTAATTTTTCGAGTTTCACCTGTATGCTACTGTAATGCTATCTTCTCCTAGGATAGTAAGGAGGGACATGCTTGGGCTTGTATTCAAGGAAGGACCGCGCACACATTCTCATGTTGTGAGCATTGTGAGGACACAATTGTCTTGCGGCTATTGCAGAGAATCCTCATGGAGCAAATATGGGAGCAGTCATGGAGCTGTCCAACCCGACGTCCAGCAGATTTCACCTCCAGCCTGCCCTCAAGCACGCCTGCCTGGAAGTTAGTAATACTGAATCTTAGTTACTATGGATTTTTAAAGAAATTTGTATGTACCGCTTCAAGGTCAAAACTGACCGAATGCGATAGAACGGTTAAAGGAAACGTAAGAAAGTTGAGTTACAATGTTAAAGATGTAGTTTAAAGGCACAATATGTAGGGTTTTTTCGCCCACAAGAGGGCGCAGTTTCCAACAATAACAAAGGCGTAGGTTGATGGCGCAGTGATGAGCTGAATGATGGGACTTGCTGTCAAGATGATGGATCTAATAATGTTTATGGATGAGTGCAAACATTCATGTTTTTTAACATTACAGTGGTATGAAGCAGGTCGCGATTGCTAAAGAGACAGATATCACACGCAAGTCCCGCGGATATAAAGGAATAAGGACATTTAATTCTACCGAACTACCCGCAAGTGCTGAATTAATACTCACACAGGTCAGTTTATTAGACGAATTAAACGTGTGAGGTAATGCAGCGCTGCTTCACTTGGTCTAACGTTACACTATCACACTAAACGACATTTAAATGTGTGTTGAAAGTTATAGTGTTATACTACGTGTTAGTTCGTTTGCTATACGAAAACTAGCAGTAAGCTAGATCAACATTAATAACATACTGACCATATTCTAACATTTCATCATGTTGAGCTAATGTTATATAACATTGATTTGTTTTATGTACATTTGCTTACCTGTCTAATAAAGCTGTCAAGTCATGACTCATGAAGCTCTGTCAAGTCCAAGTTAGTCGCGGACGTGGAGCTCTCGGCATCTCAAAAACCCCACTCTGATATTGATCCTCGTTTTAGTTCTCCTTGTTTGTCCCAAAGTCTGCTTGCCATGGTCTATGTTTGAAAGAAACAAGAACTGCGTGCCGCTAAACATTACGCACTACGCAGTTGTCCACGTCTGTCGCCATGGTTACGTCATGGCTATGGCAGTATGAACGGAAACCGAGGATAGCGCGGATATTGCGTCATTGACAGGCGACATTTTTTTCCGGGACGACCACTTATTTAAAATGGCAATTTCTCTGAAATAAAAAATCTTTGGACACTTTTGGGATATTGTAAGTACACAACTGCAGGAAATATATCACACTGTGCAAGTGATTTTGGGATATTTTATTACAAAATTCTTACAGTAGCTTTAAATGAGATGTACAGAGACAGAAATGTAGTCACATCAGTAATATTTGCTACTGCAACTTCTGATTGAGGCTGTACACATTTTCTTTATCATTTTTCATATTTACATAATTATATAATTATGGACCAAGCACCAAAGGTTCTGTTGTCCATATTTTGACTTTTAGTTGTCTTATTATTATCATTATTCCTCCCCAATGGGAGTCCATGGCAGCCGGCACTCTGTCCACTTTCACAGGTAAGGGTTATAACTCCTGAATAAATGTTTAAGGTTCACAAAACTAATATTGGAATGTATTAATTAATAATATCTCATGAATAAACAAGTTGTGTCCTTTTGCATCAACCTTTTAACAGAGGATTCGACATAAGAAAAGTGACATGAGTCATGAAACATTACAGTAATGAGCCTAAACACAAACACAACACCCTTCAGTATCACTACAATAGAATATTTTCGGCTGCATCATGCTTAAATAATGAATCTGATTTTGATTCAAATAAGTATGAATAATTTATTAAGCATTTATAACATGCTAATTAAAAAGGTTCATGTGTAAAAGTCACCATTTTAAAATGATGCAGTTATTACTGTCTATAAATTATTCTTAATGCAAACATGTCACCGTTATATTATGTTGGGATTTAGAGTTTTGCATGTTTCTGCTGTTTTATTCAAGCAGCATTTAATACTCAGTATTTACAATTTTAATTTGTTGCTCATTAACAGTTTGTTAGATACAATCTTATAATTGTGCCTGGAAGTGTGTCCATTTATTATAGATAGCTGTGAGCAATCCTGTAAAAAGTGCAGCTTATCCGTGTTCATATGATTCAGAAACACTGATCACTTATCAAAAAACATATTCTCTGCTCACTCCTGTAACTGTATGATTTTCTTCTATTTTGCCTAAAATAAAAATAGCAAGACAATAAAAATATGACAGCATTGCATTACATGGTCACTTAGTCAACAATCAGAAATATTGTTTTTGACCTTCTAGCTTCTGAAATGTTGAAAATCCTCAATCAGTCCTGAGTTCAGCTCGCCCGGTTCTCGACTCAGACCTGAGGCCTTCCAGTTTAACACTAGATGGCAGTATTATAAAGGTTTCATGTGATGTTTTATAAGCTTTATAAAACCGTGTGACAAGAAAACTGGCAAATTGGGTGACAAGAAAATGCTTGCTGGCATTATGCATCTTCATTTATGTACTCTTTATAATTACACATATTATGCTCAATGACTTAAACATTCATCATTCAACATAAAACTGAAATTATGCACATTATATCTCTAGTTTGGTAATGTTTTGGTAATGTTTATTGTGTAATTGTCCAATAATCTTGAAAACAGTGGAAAATGCTTTGAAATATGGGCTAGAAGACTAATCAAAATGTGTTTGGCTTTCTGATTAACTGTCAAAGGCTAAGAATATTATGATTCTTTAGATTTGTTAATTAACTGGGATCAACACAACATATTCTTAGATTAAGAAACAATAATAGTGATTTTTAAAAACTTTTTCGTAAACAAGTCATTTTTATACAGCAATCAAAATAAAACATAAATGGCAAGGAAAAAAAATACTTTCAAGCTCTTATATGAAAGAGGTCCAGAGAAAAAGATGTACAGTACCACACACACACACACACACATACAGTATATATATATATATATATATATATATATATATATATATATATATATATATATATACACACTTACTTGGTTATAATAAAGTATTTTTTTATTATGTTGGTTTTTCTGATCTCTACCATTTATATTTTCAGACTAAATAAAAGTTGGAAGGGATTAATGACATATATTGTCAAACTATTGCCACTTCCTCCTCATCGTCATCATCTTCATCTTCATAGTAGCGATTCCTCTTGATCATTTCCTCCACGGTCAGGGCCTCCTCGGCCTCCTCCCCGTCCCAGAAGCCCACGTCCTGGGACTTCCGATGGGCTTTTTCTTCCACGGGTGGAGCGGATGTGTCCTGGAGCTCAGGAAAAGTCTTGGAGGTTTTCATCAGTTTCTCCTCACGAGCTTTCGAACCCCTCTGCTGTTGTAGCTCGGGCTCTGTTTTTGTTACTTTTGGCTGAGACTCCTTATTTCTTTGTTGTAGATCAGTTTGTTTTGGCTGAATTTCCTCTGGCTCTTTTTTTGTTTGTTTTGGCTGAGACTCCTCATTTGTTTGTTTGGGACCAGCCTCTTTTTTGGTTGGTTGTGTCACTTTGAGAATGGAAGAGGGCATCTTCTCCTTACTCTCCATCTTGACAGGACTCTCCGCATCCTCTTTGAATTGGCTGTCAGTGTCCTTTGTCTTTTTATCTGGGATTTTCGCCTCTCTATCTGGGATTTTCGCCTCTCTATCTGGGATTTTCGCCTCTCTATCTGGGATTTTCGCCTCTTTGTCTGGGATTTTCGCCTCTTTATCTGGGATTTTGACTTCAGTTTTGTCTGTTTTCGCCTTTGACAGCGAGCGAAGCTCCTCCAGCGAGCCTCGTCTGACTGAAGGAACCTCTTGCTGTGGATTATTGGTTAATGTCAGGCTTGGAGCCACAGAAAAGGGCCGGCTGCGCTCTCTGAGAGACGAGCTTCGCCTCAGGCTTCTCAGTTCGGCTCTTTCTGAGCTCTTCTGAGCAGGTGGAGCTTCTTCCTCCGGAGGCCACTTTGCTCGGAAAAGCTTGGTTGGGCTCTTCCCGCCTTCAGCGACTGGACTGGAGACTTTGGCGCTTCCATCACTGTCTGCAGGAGGTGGCCACGCGACTCTCAGTTTTCTGGTTTCCACAGAGGTGGTGTGTGGTTTTTCCGTGGAGCTGGTCACATGACTCCTGGTCTCTTGAGCTGCAGTCACGTCAGTGTATTTGGCTGGTCGTGACTCCTCCGCTTTGGGCTTTGGTTGTACTGTAGGCTTCACAGGCTCTGCCACGGAGGGCTTTGAGTTTTCACTCCCCTCGGGTCCCTCGTCGTTTGTTCGTGGTGTCCACATTTCCTTATGCGGTCGGTGGCCAAAGCCCTCATCATAGTTGCCCTTAGACTTGAAAAGCTGACTGAAGTGAGGTTTGCAGTAGATGCTGCCATGCAGGGAAGCGTAAGACAGCAAGCTGAAATGACAAGGACATTTGATTTTTACATGCAGGATATCTCAAATCTGACCTCCTCAGGATTTTAACTAATATTGACTAATTCTTAAAGCCCTATTCGGACGGGATTAGTTTAACATGGAGAGCTGGGGTAAAGTAATTATTACCAGAGCTTCTCAGTGATTTTAGTCCCGTCCGAATGTGCAATCTCAGTTATCATTACGGACAATATCAGTGAAGATTACGGCGACTTTTACCTTCTGTAAAAAGGTCCGGAAAAATTACCTCCGGTAATACTAATCCCGTGCGAATAGACCCGCTGTAAATATGTACGCAAATATTCCGTCATTTCCTGTTTATAAAAGTAGTTTTTCAAGTATGGAGGCACTCGAAAAGCATTCAGTTGCGTTCTAGACGGTGGGACGTCGAGTCTGTGGCAAAACTCAAGTGTTTTCCACAAACCATTCAGGGTTAGAATTTGTCAGAGGCACGAAACTTCGTTTAGCGTTAGGTTAGGCCTATTACCAACATAATCCAATCTGAATTTAATTAATACATCATTCGACCGGACCTAACTGTTATATACAGTATATATATATATATATAGGTTATGTGTTTGCGCACATGATATCAGGAAGCAACGTAATACGCACATGACGACAGGAGTGACGGCGGTGTGCAAATCGTGTTACTCTCCCACTTCTGCTAGTTTTACTGAGATATCTTATCCTGTGCGAATTGGCCATTATTATCAAAGACGTCCTGTGGTAAAATTACATTACTCCATCTACCGTTGTAAAGCTAATCCCGTCCGAATAGGGCTTAAGGCTGTAAAAGTGAATGTGTTCATATATATGACTAATATGTTTTTTTGCCACCATTAACAGTTTCTATTTATTCTATTGCATATTCATAGAACCACGTATATACTAAACGAGGCAAGGGTGTAGAGTAACATTCAATCTATTTTAATGCATACAGAATTTGTTTTCAAGGAAAAAAATGGTTAAATATGTCATTTTGGTGACTACTTTAAAATAAATAAATAAAGACAAAAGATACCTGAGTTTGGTATTACAGAAGGCACAGCGGAAGCAAGTCTTATGGTAAATCTGCTGGTTGGCAATAAGTTTTTCCACCGGATAAACCGTCTGCTGGCAGCACACACATCTTTCCTGGACAGGTGGATTAAATTTCTGTCCAGGGAAACACAAGAGTTATAAACATCTCTTTTGCAATGCAATCAGTATGAATATCAGATTTCTATGGCATTTAGCAGACTGTCCCAAAATCTTAAAATTAATATTCATATTCTACACGCTGCCACCACAGACCAACTTTATTTGACTATTAGTCATCAGTTGCTAAATATAAAATTGATTTCCCCAGGTAGAATTAAATCTGTGTGTGCACATAAAATCAATAAGCATTTAAAATTCTATAAACAGAAATGAGTTTGTAGTCCACAGACCCTGAGCACTTTAGGAGGGTCCTTGCTCTCTGACGCAGGGTGTGCAGTGCTCGCTGTGTGTACATGCTCTCCTAAAGGAGACACAAACACATGACAGATCACTACATACTGCACACTATATACTGGGCTGAGTTTTTGATAGTGACTTGTTTACAGCAGTTTAAATCTAATCCATGACAAACAAATTAACAATAAAATAAGCACTTAAATTAAAAGCAAAAGGATAATATTTTAGTGAGGTTTTTCTACGTTTAAAATCACAGAGGATTTCCAGAGCAATGAAGGCTCACAGGTGTGAAGCGGAATATTAAATTCTCCTGAAGTGAATTAATGCACAGGGGAAAGTCCATGTAAGTGTTTCAGCAGCTGTGGAAATTATTGTAACTATACTCTTGTGTCATCTTTCCATGCCTTTACTCCGAATTGCATGCAAAAGTGTCAAGTGCATCTTTGCTATTTTAACTGCGTGTCCTGCAGCTGCTTCTGTAGCCTTCAGGAAATCTCTGAAAACTTCGATTTTATAATGTGCTCCTGTTTCTCCTCAAAAACGTCCAAGACTGATCCTTCCACCTATGTTAAGGCAGCTCTCTAGATAGAGTCTATAACTTTGGCTTTAATGAAGAACATTCATTCAAGTGAAGGAAATACAAGTTCGTATTTTTCAGATATTTTAATATTACAGACGTCGAAAGGAAAGACGCCTTTGATGTCAATAACACATTATAAAATACGTTTCTGCTCTCTTTTCAGAAGCCCACTTATTCTTATTTATTTCTGTCTTCATTTCGTACGATTACATGGTTGGGGGCAACCCTGTCAAAGCAGACCAGCAACCCGTTTTTGTTGATAACCACCCTCATATAACTATAACTCAACTCACTATTTATAAAATCAGCTCCTTAATTATAATGGTAAAAGAATAGACTCACCATTGGTCTTCGCACAATTTGATGGAGGGAGTGTTTTCTGTAGAGAGAGAACAAACAATGATGACAATGACAAACAGGAGTCTTGTTAAATCTTAAGGTAAACTATTTAATGTTGTGACAAACATATTCATTACCGGTCAAAAGCGTGGAATAATTAAGATTTTTTTAAGTTTTTGAAAGAAGTCTCTTCTGCTCACCAAGGCTGCATTTATTTGATAAAAAAAGCAATAATTTTGTGAAATAATATCGCAATTTAAAAGAACTCTTCTATTTTAATACATCGTAAAATGTAATTTATTCCTGTGATCAAAGCTGAGTTTTCAGCATCATTACTCCAGTCTTCAGTGTCACATGATCCTTCAGAAATCATTCTGATATGAGGATTACAATTGGTGACCAAATATTAAAAATTCTTATTATTATCAAAGTTGAAAACAGTTTTTGATACATACGTAATAGATTTTTTCCAGGATTCTTTTATGATTAGAAAGTTAAATTAATAGCTTTTTTTTTTTTAAATACATTATAAATGTTGCTACCGTCTCTTTTGATCAATGTAACATGCTTGTGGAATAAAAGTATTATTATTATTATTTTAAATCTTACTTACCCCACTTGTATCTTACTTGTATCACAGTTTCCACAAAAAAATAAAGCAGCACGTTTTGAACATTGATAATAATCAGACAGGTTTCTTGAGCATCAAATCATCATATTAGAGTGATTTCTGAAGGATCATGTGACACTGAAGACTGGAGTAATGATGCTGAAAATTCAGCTTTGACCATATAAGTGGCATTTTATAATATATATATACAATACATACGTATTCACATAGAGAACAGCCATTTTAAATTGTAATAATATTTTTAAATAACAGTAAATTCAATCTGAATACATCACTAAAAGAAGTTTGTCTTTATTGGTATGTTTAAGTTGTAGTTTTCGAAGTAAATGAGAGCACGTATCGTACCACTGTCTGTCCATCACCAGCAGGAGGCGAGATCTCCTTATGATCCACGACGGGAACGCTGTCCTCGCTTTCCGACTGCTTTGCCTGAATCAAAGGGACAATCACTCCACATCAGCACACTTTAAAAATAACCCAACAATGTATACATGAAACATGATAGTGTGTTTGTTACACCGTTTTTTACGACACTTTTCTCAGTACACCTACTCTCTTCTGATTCTTCATTGTAAAGTGCCCTTGATCATTGGAAATGTGCTATATAAATTATTATTATTATTATATGCTGTGGCATTAGTTGTCCTGGGGAAGGATGATTCTATGAAAGAAGGATTGTTTATCTCACATGTGGTTGAATCATTCCTATCATGCAGTTTATTTTCAAGATACTGTTATTTACTCTCAGAATAGGTTAGCATTGGTGATTGATATGATAATGATTATGTATTGGGTCTCGTGGACTATATGCTACGCTGCTGCTGCTGCAGAGCAAGTACTTAGACAACTGTAATACACACAATCGCATGCATTAGTGACCCGTAGCAGATCTAGACAGGTGGAGCTTGTGTGTTTCTGAAAGCGCACTGCAAGATCTGCTCACAGCATAACTGACTGAAACAAGATATATCACTATACATATTGATTAGTAAGTTCATTAGCTGCAGATGCAACAGAGACCAATCAGCTTGCAGTGAACGCTAGAAGGACCTGTCAGCCTGCACAGATATATATTACAAAAAAAGATTTGACATTTTATATCTAAATAATACAACTGCTAATTTTCTTGGACAATGATATTGGTCACAATTAAGAGAGCATGATATTTAACTGTGCATATGCAGTATTTTTAAGAATGGTATTAATTTTTCTTTTCTCCAATTGAAACGACAGTTAGACTTTAGTAAGCCTACAGATACCCATTCAATTCAAGGCTGAATCAAGAACCAAACATGCTCAAAAATATGCTTTTACTTTCTACCGATTGCATAAATTACAGAGAGCTCTGACTGCACTTACTCTAATGTAAACCGTATCATCTTTATATGTTTCAGCAAACCATCAGCTAAAAGGTTCTGTTGTGTACATACAGTAATCATTCATACTCACAGAGCGTGGCACAGTAACAGGAGCCTGTCTGTTGACCGCTAGCTGATATTTCGCCATGCGGTCCCTGACAGAGGCGCTGCGCTTCAGACTGGAAGTACCTATGACAGAATATATTTTTGTAACTTTTCTTTTCAAAACAACCTTTGTTTGACTGTGTTGTGTTTCTTGGTATTTACCTTTGTTGGCCATTTGTGTGTCCATGTCCTCTGAGGTGCTGTTCACTTCTGTTTGCTCCTGAAGAATCAAGTATAAAGTACAGTATGTAAACCAGCGCCAGACTGAAAGAAATGTGTAGTGCAGACACAACAACGGCATTTACATGTAGACCGAAGGAAACAGCACTCTTCTCCCTTCCTTTTCCCAGGAAATATCCACTGTACTGTTAACCCTACTCTTGAAGATAATTCACTCCAAAGTGAACACAAAACCAAAAATAAAGCCACCGCTGGCAGCACTAAATGAGTAAGGCAATAAAGAGAGGTGGAAATTCCATCAATTTGAATTGGAGTGGGAAGCTTTGGTTCACTCGCAACAATATATTATTGTGTTCAGTCCAATACAAAATGGTAGCACTGCATTTCGATAGCCCACTTCAGACATGTTACTTTGCAACTACCTGTCAGCTAGCAGTCATTAGAGTATTAGTAGACTGTATATCTGATAACACTTTATTTTGATGCTCCTCAGACATTCTACATGTCAACTTATTTTATTAACTCATGAGCCATAATGTAACAGTCTACTAATACTCTAATGAGAGTTAGTTGATATGTAGTTGTACATTAATGAGTTAAAAAGTTAGTTGCAACGTTACTTGTCTGAAGTAGACTATTTGACTATCGAAATAAAGTGTAGCCCTTTTTGTAAATGTTATTTTTATCAAGAAATTTAACATTTATTTAATATTTCTAAGTAAATACAAATGATGTGTGGCAAATAGTTTTAAATGAAGTGTGAATTATGAATGAGTTTTTATATTGAACAACTAATGTATGCTTATATTTGTATTTGAAATGTAAATTATTCATATATTTCACAACATACTCAACTTACATACCGTAGAGTAACACAGCTTACCCTTACCCATTTCTCTATGTGTTTATTTATTTTTGAGAAGTCATCCGTCTATGCTATAATCCCATTTCTCCTTCATACAAGACAACCTCATTAAAAAGAAAAGTGCAAAGTTTACCCCTACCATAAATGCAAAAGATGGTTATGAAGACTACCTCAGATGTACAAAACTTTTAAAAACAAAGACAGGCTCTGCAGAATGAAGACTGGTTTCCTCTCTAAGCACAAGCACACTGACCGCCTTAAAGGGATAGTTCACCCAAAAATGAAAACTCTGTCAGTAATTACTCTCCCTCATGTTGTTTCAACCCCGTAAGACTTTCGTTCATCTTCGGAACACAAATTAAGATATTTTTGATTAAATCTGAGAGCTGGATCACTCCTCCATAGGCTTCTAAGGGATCGAAACTGGCCGGCCCAAAAGTTATTAAAGACATCGTTAAAATAGTCCGAGTGACTACAGTGGCTCAACCTTAAGTTTATCAAGCGACGAGAATACTTTGTGTGCACAAAAAACAAACAAAAATAATGACTTTAATCAACTATTCATTTCCTTTCCTGTGGGCCGTGAGATTTCACGTAGTGTAACTGCGCAAAGCTTCTAGGATGTACATCACACATTGGCTCACTATTGGCCGACGCTGGTCATGTGTGTGATGCGTGTGACGTACAACACAGAAGCGCTGCGCTGTTTCACCACGTGAACTCACTCGAGGCCCACAGAGATGGAAATGAATAGTTGATTAAAGTCGTTATTTTTGTTTGTATTTTTGTGCACAAAAAGTATTCTCGTCGCTTGATAAACTTAAGGTTGAGCCACTGTAGTCACTCGGACTATTTTAACGATGTCTTTAATAACTTTTCTGGGCCGGCCAGTTTCAATCCCTTAGAAGCCTATGGAGGAGTGATCCAGCTCTCAGATTTAATCAAAAATATCTTAATTTGTGTTCCGAAGATGAACGAAAGTCTTACGGGGTTGAAACAACATGAGGGCGAGTAATTACTGACAGAGTTTACATTTTTGGGTGAACTATCCCTTTAAAGAACACTCACATTACGCCTGAAATGTGAAATTGCATTGCATTTAGAACATGAACGTAGATGTTTGGATAAACCAGAGAGGAGAAAGGCAAGGGCACGGATGGAGAAACAAACGGTGGGAGGTTTTATAGTCCTCCAGAGACCTGCTGGGGTTTTAAAGAGTGTGTGTGTGTGTGTGTGTGCATACCAGTCTCATGACATCATCACCACACAGCATACAACACAAATGAAGCAAGCAGATGCGACTGCCATAGCCGAGTGTGGCAAACATGTTTGTGTGTAATAAGGTGAAAAAGACAGTATGCATACAACCAAAAACTCTCCTGTAAAGTTTTTTTTTTCAGAAGTAGTAGTTCATGTAAGATTGAATTTATACTCATCCCTCAGTTTATTAAAACAAAATAAAGAAACCTAGTAAGTGCATACGTCTGAACAATGGAAGTCTAGGGCCGGAAACAAGTACGAAAGCGCAGACACAAGCACTACCGATGCGCTCTTGTGTTAGTTGGACGATTTAGGTGAGATGTGCCATTAAACCAGATGCATTGATATTTGCGTAAGTAATATGATTATTTTTAGCAAACATTTCAGAAGGCAACTGTCCATGAAATTGAGTCTGCATTTGTCATTCACATATTTGGGTAGAAGGTGTTTTGTGCTTGTTTTAATTTTTTATTTGGTTACGTTTTATTTTAATGTGACATTGTTACAATTACACAGTTGTGTACACCAATAATGTAATTACACACAAGGAATGAGTAATCTTAATTAATAACATGTACTTACTGTAGGTTTAGGGTTTGGCTTATAGTGTTAGTTGCATATGCATTATTAAATGTTTATAATACAGTAAATCCGTGTATCATTTGTAACAATGGCATATTAAAATAAAGTGTTACACGGTATTTTATTAGGTTTGTACAGGTAAGTAAGCATTTTTATTACACTAGTCTTAACACATTTTTATTACAGAAGTCTTGTTGGTAACACTTTATTTTGATGGTCCCTTTTGAACATTAAGTAACTTTGCAACTACATGTCAACTAACTCTGATTAGAGTATCAGTAGACTGTCTGCTTAATATCTGCCAACTCTTTATTGTGTTGATCCTCCAAAAGACATTCTACAGACTATAAGTAACTTTGCAGCTACATGTCAACTTATTCTATCCCTAACCCTACCAGTCTACTAATACTCTACTAACACTCTAGTGAGAGTTAGTAGAGGTGCAATGTTACTTATAGTCAACTGAATGTGTTAAAGGGACCATCCAAATAAAGTGAAACCGTCTTGTGTCTTATACTCCTAGAACGGTGTGTATCTTAACATTTATTCTGGTGCAATGTAGATTACTGTAAACATGTCTTTTCCTCTAATGTTTTCACAAACTAAAAGACTATGTGAAATGATTGTTTGTGCTAATCGACAGCATGTTGAATGTAACTTGAAGAGTGTTTTTAATGTGTGATGGTCAGAGAGGGACTCATCTACTGCATCTCCGGCATTCTCTTGCCTTTGTGTTTTCAGCCAGCGTTCAGGAGGCAGGAAACCACTCAAACAACCGCCTCACTGTGATGGAACAATACACACTTGTCTCTGCTTCACACCCCTTTGGATTGGGGAATTTTAAAGAACATGTCACAGAGCCGTAGTCACAAACGCCACCTAGCTAGCTAAGTAGGATTGCTTATAGACCACGTTAAAAATACAAATAAACAGCGATATCTCACTGCGTGAATCTCACGAACCGGCAAAGAAAACGATTGGGTCATTTTTCACAACAAAATGAACCTTGAGAAATTCAAACTATTACTGTTTTTTCCATTGTGACATTTTTAAATGAAAATGTAACATTTTCCTGCTCAATTTTCCTTTGCAAAAAGCAAAAAAAAAAACGGTATAATGTCTGTAAAATTGTCCTAGCATTTTATATCAAATTATATATTTTTAGTTATTACCTTTTCAGTTTCTTAATCTGCTAATTTTACAATTTTAACAGGATAAAGACATGAGCCAGAATGAAGAGGCTGTTCCTTCAGCTATCCCTGTAGACATTACACACCTTTATCCTCCTAAAGAAGTGGAACTAGTAATTCACTTTCAGTTTATATTGTATTTGCTATTGCAAGAGTAAGCTTTGAGATCAGAGGCCTGGTGCATGAACACGCTCTCAGTTGTTATAGGAAAGTATTTTCAGCAAACTCTGGTTTTTCGGGCTCAAGAAGGTGGATTGGTTTTTAGCGATGTTCATTACCATTGTAACTCACACTACACGGCTAACCTGCTCCAGAGCTGCTTTTATACTGGGTTAGAGATCGCAAACCAAAACCAAAACTGGACCAATCAGCTGTGAGCAAATTACATATCTGACGCAATAAAGTCACTCCCCCTATCTCTGGCTCAAACTAGCCGTTCACAGTGAGAGAATTTTAGAGACAAAATTGCCCGTCTTTTTCTGCATGCTGTTTATTATTTATTATATTAATTATTATAATAATTATATGAATAGACAATTAATATTAAACTTTGCATTTAATATATACGTACATACCAGCTTTAATATATATATATCTTTTAAATGACTATAGCTTACACTTTCTTTTGAGCTCTCGGTGAACCAAAACTATTATATAAATTCAGATGATACAGTCAGATATTTTCTTTCAGCTGCCTTCTCAAACTTTCCTGCCTTTTTCATAACAATCTCTTCTCGCAAGAAGTCCATCAGACTGACGTTAATGTGAGTGAATTACAAACTCTTGATCAAACCCTGACAGAGAACGTTTATATCTAGTGTTGTGAACCCGCTGAACCTGTTGGATTTGCATGTTTTTTTTTAACTCTAAACCTACTGTAAACTCAGCACTTGTTCAGCTTTATGCATCACGCCACTGATGTTGTACAAGTATTGATGTTGTAAAGAAATGCATGAATGATCAAAGGAAGTGGGGAAGCTCTCCATTAGCAAAGATGGTTTCAGCAGAGTGAATCTGTTGGCAGCAAACAGGAAAAGAAGGAGGCTTTTGGTCATTCTTTGTGTGATGAACATGACTGACAACACAGGTTAGAGAAAGAAAGATAAAAGCACACCAAAAAAAAGTAGATTTGAATGAGATTGAATGAGAGAAACTGAAATGAGAATCTTTTCCCTGTAATCAAGGCTAGATACAAAATCTTGCTTATCAAAATGTATTCTTATTACAGTTTTGCAACATACAAAGGACAGCTTTTACTTTGTATTTTACTGCGCTTCCATTATCTAATAACTGCAGATTATTATGAAGACAATGTTAGATTCGGTCACTGTTTCAGAGATTGCAAACTGAGACATTCCAAGAGATTCCAAGGAATCAAGTAGGAATGTGAGCACATGCCTGGCCTCTGGATATGACAATGGGGGATGGGCACTCAGTCAACTGAGGTAAAGCCCAGACATATATCCACTGACACATATCCATATCAAGTTATGTACAGGTTAGCTGATGAAATGACCCTTAAATTGACTTCACACTTGCTGTTTAGTCAATAAACAAAACAAAACAGCTTTTATGACGTATTCTTTTGTGACCGAACTTACTGAAAACGATGTTGTGTGTTGGACTAAATCTGCATGGGAATTTTTACCAGCCGAAGGCTTGTGAAGAGTTTAGAAAATGTGTAAAGGACTCAAAACCCCTCCGTCACTCACACAAATGAAGATCTGCTGCAAGGAGGCGGTGTTTCCGACGACTGTACAGAACTGTAATGGGCAACATCGCGACTATGGCGAGAAAAATAGGTATTCTCAGCCCGTTCTCATCCCAAGGCGTCATATACTGACGCTTTTGCCAAAGCATCTATATCCCAACGCACATGGCACCCTTTAGCGTCAATATGAGACGCAGATATATGGCGCCTCCTAGTGGTCTAACCCTAACACTACCCCAGACCTAAACCTAACCGAAGCGTGTTATATTGACGCTAAAGGGTGCCATTTGCGTCGGATGTAGACGCTTTGGCAAAAGCGTCAGTATATGACGCCTTTGGATGAGAATGCGTTGGTATTCTTGAGCATTCTGTCCTTTTTACTGTGCGTTCACACCGGACGCGAATAGCGCGTCAAATTCGCGTCTACCGCGTCTAGTTTGACGCTTGACCACTTTGTGTTAATTCGCGTGTCAATGGCGAAATTGACGCGCGTAAAAACAAAAGTTTGAAGCGAAATTTACGCGCGTCAGAGGCGAAATCCGGAGGCGAAAGTTTCGAAACCCGTTGGCGGCCATCTTTTTAGATGTTTATCGAGCATTAGCATTAGCATTATTCGAGAGAGTCACCGCTCGTATATGCTCTGGAGAGCAGAAACAGCTCCGTAGGGGACATCGTCGCTGTACTCGGGTCCACCAGAACCTCCGGAGGGTTTCAGGAGTTTCACAATTTGCTCCAGGAGCTAGGTTTGGTGGACCTAATGGTGAGGACGCTGACGAGGACAGCGTAGGCCGTATAAGCCCTCGGCCTGGAGTGGTCTAGCTATGCCTGTCGAGCCCGCGCTCTACAGCCCGGCGCGAGGTTCATCCTCGCCCGCATCCACCTAATCTGTCATTTATTTTTGTTTTGATAATAAATGAAGCCAGCCTCCAAAAGTGATTAATCTGTCCTGTGATTTTTCTCTCTCTCTCACACATCACTGTCCAGACACGAACTTATATGTTGGTTGTCTTTACATTATAATAATATTTAATATAATCTAGATATGGAATAAATAGCATTCAATGCAAAATGAATATGTCTCATATATTGAAATCAAGTTTTATGTGATAAAATATTTGCTTTGTTGTGCATTAGAACCACAGTCATATATTACAAAATAATTTATTGAAGCATCCAGATACTTCACCACGTGACAGCAGCAAGTAGCTAGGCTCCTGATTGGTTAACGCGGCGCGAATTGACGCAGAAGTTCAGATTTTTCAACTCGGGCGGCAGACGCGAATTCGCGTCAAACGCGTGAATGCACAAATAGCACTAACTAAATCATTCGCGCGTAACGCGCTTAACGCGCCAGACGCTCAATTTGCGCCATTCGCGCGAACTTGACGCGCGTCTATTCGCGTCTACCGCGCCGCGCTCTACGCCTCATTCGCGCCGCAGGGATTTTTTACGCGCGTAACGCATCTTTGCATTGACTTAACATTGAAATCACTCGCGCCTGACGCGCTATTCGCGTCCGGTGTGAACGCACCATCAGGGTCTCATTTTGTTGACATCACCTCCTGTTTTGTATGCGTCTCGGTTCGCTTGTTTGGTGCGCACCAGGGAGCGTTCACACTTAATGAACTCAACTAACAGAGCAATCGCACCAGAGTTCGGTTTAATTGAACCAAACCTGCCAAGTGTGAACACACCCTTATCTACCATTTAAAACAGAAGTAAAAAGCCACTAATATGTCTATTCAAATCAGTGAGCTGGTTTAACATGTTTGCCAAAGCACGGACAAAAGCTTCAACAATATCAACAAAGATCCCACATTTAGAAAGAAGTTATACCAACTTAACCTGCAGCTGTTCTACATTAAGCATGCAGCAAATGCATTTAAATTGAGGTTTGAGTAATTATTCCTCTGGTAATGACAGTTTCCGTATACTTAATATGAGGTTCTGCCAAAAGACTTTAAAATCCAGATATTTTGGGAGACAAATACATATTTTGAACATACTGTGTACTACACCTTTAAAATTGAACATAGATGAAGTTGTTGGCCATTTTCTCGATTTCACAACAGATCAGATTGAACCGGAATCACAAAGGGTTGAAAAAGACTAGTAAAGGGTGTCAGTTTTTATATGGTAAAAGTAAATAGCTGCCTTCAGGATTAGATTTATACTGTCATTCATTTATGTTTTCTTCCTGTACTACAGTACTGGGACTGACATTTCCCCCTCACATTACGTTATTGAGAATGGGATTTGTTCACTTTACAGTAATGTCATTTGCAGGGAAAATGTGTTTAACTGTCATTAAAGAGAATTTAAATAAATTGTCCTAAATAAGGCTTCATTTCGTATTTCTTTCTTTTGATTTTGAGGTAAAATAGGACCTGGGTATTTCTTTGTAAGATTTGGCATGCAAGTGAGAAAAATGCAACTGTTATAATTATGATTATAGATTATGTTGGGTTCACAACATACCAGGAAATATAGAGAATACAGAACAGGTACAGTAATGTATTTCATCTGTGACATTCTCACCTTGCTTTTGCCCTTTTCAAACATCATTTTGCGGTTATTGAGAGGCAAGACTGGTTTCTCCAAAGGGGAAGATGGAGAAAATGGATCGGATGCAGACTCGTTTTCTTCCTTCTCTTCTACCCTCTTCTTTTGTTTAGTCTCCATGTCTGCCTTTGTTTGGGCAGGTCTCTCATGGGACGTCGGCTCCTGGCTCAGGCTGGGCTGTCGCACGGGTTTGCTGGAGGAAGCAGGTGGTTCTGGTCGAATGCTGGGTTTGCGGGAAACAGAAGGAGCCACGCTCAGCTGAAGAGCAGATTTCTCCGGAGCCGGTCGTTCCCAGCGTTTCTTCAGCACACTCAGGTTTCCCGATCGCACGGACAAACTGTCAACAGACTGAGAAAGAGTGAGAGAGGTTCATTCATGTAGACATTCATTTCAGACATAATAAAAAACACAACACCCGTGTTGTATTCCAACTACTTTTACTAGTTTTTGTTAACTATTACTTACAACAAGGCAATAGAGCTCAAGATTCTGGTCTCTAGATATGCTTTGGGTCCCTTCTTTAATGTAAATCTATGAGATGTGTTTTGCCTGCAGAGTAAAAACTAAGTCTGATCACTTAAAAAAAGTAATAGTACACCTCACCTCAACAAGCTGCATTATGTATATAATTCATATCTGTAAATTCCTAAATCAAAATGACTTTATATTTTATATTCTTCATAGTAACCCTCTGCCTTAATTACAGTTTTGCATAATCTAGACTTTCAACTAGCTTCAGTTGTCATCACTTGTTGAAACTTCAAATTTATCCAGTCCAAATAATCCATTCTATAATTTAAATGTATGCTTTGTAAAGAAGTTTATACTTTACATCTACAAAACTAATTTCAAGAATTTAAGCATAACCCTTTCATGGTTATTATCATTAACAAAAACTAAAATTATTTTTTTTTTAAAAAGGTTTTTTAGTTGAAATAAAATAAAATAAAAAATAAACATCAGATGAAAAACTTAGCTAAACTAAGTACAATTTTTAAATGTTACATTGACAACAAACTGAAATAAGTTCAAGTTAAATCACAAGTATGACTAAATGGAATTAAATAAAAACTGAATCTGAACTAAAACTGAAATAAAAATAAACCTGAATAGTAGTATAAAATAAAGACAATAAAAATGACAAAAGCACAAAACGATGAAAATAAATTAAAAAAAGATTCAATTTAGCAATAGTTAAAATGAAAAAGCTAATAGTAGGCCTAATGCTAATAGTAAATAAAAGTATATAAAATAGTAAAATAACACTGAACCCGTTTAGACCAAAACATTGTCCGTTACAAACATTTGACGGTTAGTGTGCACTAAAGACTTGTTACCATTTGAAAGTTTAATTTAGGACATTTTGTCTGGAATAGAAGTGTCAAGGTACGTCAAACCCACATAAAACTGACATGACGAGACATGAGAGAATATCTCCACACGAGGATAATAAAATAATGTAGGAAACAGCTGTTCAAGACATCTCCACCTAAACACAGTCAGGCTAGAAGAACACGCTTCCCCTAAAACACTATCATTTCAGCAAGCCACCAAACATTGCTCTTACGTCAGATTATTTGTGGTTTCTTTTAAAGTGTATTACATCACTGCTATCAACAAACCGAGCAGACTGCCAACACGAACTCTTCCCCATGAGTTAAAACTGCCCAATAGACAATTCAAACAAAGAACAGCTGTTTTCTATTGCGGATCAAGACAAGCTCAGTATAGAGGACTGCGGTCATGCAACAGTCTCTGTGAAAGCATGCTGAAGCGAGACGCCAGAAAGAGAAGTTGTAGGAGATGAGAGGAAAGACCTGATGGACAGGGCGCTCTTCACGTCTTTTCTCTGCTCTGCTTTCTCCGAGCTCCTTGTGCGCTGGCCATCAGTGATAAAGCTCTACCAGATGTGAACTAGTCCAGCCCCACCGAACAGCCCCCATGAAGGAAGGAAAGAGAGAAGTGAAAGGAAAAGGGGGGAAGAGGGGATGAATGTGTGTGAGATGGAGGGGTCGGAGATGATTAAAAGGCGCCTGCAGTGAAACCTGCATACAGGAAATGATGCATGTGATGAAATTTAACTCTTTCTCGTCTGTTCTCATACATGAAGAACAGTATCATGAAACTATCTTTCCCACTCTACAGATAAAGCGTTGTTGAAAATCCGGTTCGCGTACCTCGAAGTGATAAAATAAAATTCTGTATCAAATTTATAGGCAAGACAAGTAGTTTGTTTAGGCATGGTTTGTTGGGAAATTACAAACCTGCGCACACATATTCAAACGAATATAACTATAGAATCAATTTTTAATGCGCATGTGAACGCCATCAGGCCACAGGTTCGCGTTTAAAGTCTGTTTAGAGAGAACGCCGTCGTCTTAGTGGCCCCTAATGTAATAACAAATGATCATTTTGCTGGAAGTGAATCAATCAAAACCAACTTTAGCTGGAAATAACACTATTCAAAAATCGCTATAAAGCCAAAACAATCTCTGTTACCGTAAATTGTATGTTTATCTCTGTAAAGCTGCTTTGAAACAATCTCCATTGTTAAAAGCGCTATATAAATGAAGATGACTTGACTTGACATGAAATTGCAAAAAAATACAAAAAATACAAATAAATCATTGTCACAGTTGTCATTTTACATCTTTGGCAGTGATTTAGCTGTTGTGAGAGGGATGTCTGTTGTATTTTGTAAGGTACTTTTGTATTTTTGATGTTTGTCTGTATTTGTCACAGACACAAAAAGAATTTCCGAAAGGACAATAAACTAAACTTAATAATAACTTATATGTATATATATATATATTTACGGCAGAGAACTTTCAAAAGCAACATTCCCATAAAAAAATTATAAAATGTTCCCTTAACGTTCGTATAGCCAGGAAATTTTTTAAAAAGACGTTTTGAACATTCAGAGAACATTCAGAAATAATGTTTTCATAACTTAGGAACGTTAGCAAAGTGTTCTTGGAATATATTTTTGTTAGCTGGGTAGCTACTGAGAGTTTTCACCACAATGCCCACTATGTAGCCTTTCAGTTTTCAACAGTGAAGGAAATGAAACTAAGTTCTGCTTGGATTGATTGTGAAGTATAAAGAAAAAGTTCAACCAAAAATGAAAATTCTGTTATCATTTACTCAATCCTCATGCTAGAGCTGCACGATTCTGGATAAATTGAGAATCGCGATTTTTTGGTTTAAAATAGAGATCACAATTCTCCTACGATCCTAAGATTCTTACATAATGTTAATTGCTTCAGTAAATTTAAAACATTTAATTAATTTGAATTGATTATTGAAAAAAAAAAGGTTTAAGTGAATGATTCAATGACTCACTCATAAAGACTTCACTTGTTTCATTACTAGATGAATCAGCATTTTGTAATGAATCTCTTGAATGATTCAATGACAAACCCATTTTTAACAGTCACCTGTCGCCACCTACTGGTGTAATGATGTAATTGACACAATCTTTATTAGAAGCATCAAGTTACGTGCAAAGGGTGATTTACTTTTTGATGGCTGACTTAGACATCAGTGTTTATATCTGAACTATGCTTTTATCCCAGCACTTGTAATATTTTGCATTATTGTAAGAGAAATAACGATACTGTGTGGTTGAAAAGACTGTTTGTGAAGCTGTTTCACACCTAAACATGACAACTGTTCTCTCTGGATCAGCGGCAGGGCAAACACAGATCTGAATGTTCGCTGTGATCGTACTTGTCAAAGGTTTAATATACAAGTGAATAATTATCATTTAGGAATAAGATGGCGTGGGTGTTTGAATCGAGATCGCAATCTTTTAACAATTAAAGGTACAGCTCTACCTCATGTCATTTCCAGACTTGTACATCTTACTTTCTTGGGTGAAACACAAAAGTAGAAATGTCAAAAGAATTTTTTTTCATATAATGAAATACCAGTACATTTCTCATTCAATGTTCAATGGAAGAAAGTCAAACAGGTTAGGAATGAGGTTACATTTACATTTGTTTAGCAGACGTCCAAGAGTGAATAGAAAAAATACATAAAAGTTTCTATGACACACATTACATTAATAATAGTTACCGATTTTTTCTTGTCTGCGCTCGCCTCCTCGGCGGCTTTCTGATATCTGAAAACACAGAGAGGGAAGAAACGTATGAGTAAATGTTAATCATAATGTTATTCATATCACCATCTAAACATTTCCAAATGTTGGAATACAATTTCCTCTTTCAGTTTAAAAAGCAGAGACAACATGTTAGCGGTTTGTGTTTTGATCTCTCTGAAAAGTATAACAACAAAAACTTTTTTTTTTTGAGCATCCCGTCCCATTCAACACAACAGGAGTTTGGTGTGGGACTATATTTGTCTTAGCAATAGCAGATTATGTTCAGGAAACCTGTTTGAAAACCATTATTTTCATGACTCTGCTTGATGCTATTAAAGGCAAAGAAATACGCAGTATAGTTGGTGTAGTTAGTTACAACTCACAACATATTTAGTGATATCGATATCACAAACTTAGTGTGAATCGAAACACAAATAAAAACCAATATGGTTAATTACTGGAAAAGCAGTTCTGCTTAGTTGACAATTGTGATAAAGCTTATGGCTCTCGGGTGAAAGCAAGGATGGGAAGATTATGATTGTTGGTCCAAATGGAGTTGGCAACTATCTGCAAACATTCATCGCCTTCATGTCCTCGCTTCTTTCACCTGAGGGCCATAAGCGGCTGAGCCGTGCAACGGAGACAATATCTGTACCCTCAACAAAAAGTCAATAGGATTTTTCCATTGGCTTTTTGATTAGTGTTGAAAAAAAGCTCTGTGACCAACAAAAGTTTATGATGCTTACACGTGACGTTTCTGTCATCAAGATAATCAGCACAACTTTTTTCTTCAAGTCCTCCCCATAGCCATGTTAATATGAAGAAGTAAAGGGAATAACACTCACTTGGAAAGGCGCTCAGTGATGGCATTGTTCTTGCCACGACCCCCAACCAGTGAGAGCTCTTTGGCTGTGATCCGTAAGGACTGTGTCGCCCACTGTCTCTTGCTAAATGGCCCCGCATCCATTTCTGGAAAACAGTAAAGCAGATATGAAACTCAAAACAATGAATGGGACCGTAAACATGCAAAAGCTACCCGTCAGAAATCTCAAACTATCGTCAAAAAATGGTCGAATTAATAAACAGTGTTTTAACATTTAAAACGCGTATGACAACTTGCCCCATGAGAACACAGAAAGTTTCCATTAAAATCAAACTTCAGTCTGTAGCTGACCTGCCTGAATGTGTGGTCCTCTGTTTGAAATTTGAATATACTTTAATTTATTCCTGTGATCAAAGCTGAATTTTCAGCATCATTACTTCAATTAAGTTTCACATGATCCTTCAGAAATCATGCTAATATGATTTATTATCCATGTTGGAAACAGTTGTGCTGCTTAATATATTTTTTATAACACGTGATAATTTTTTCAAGATTAATGGATGAATAAAAACTTAAAATATAAATATTTTTTAAGCGAAATCTTTTGTAACAATATACACTACTGTTAAAAAGTTTGGGTTCAGTAATGTTTTCTTTCTTTTTTTTTAATTAAATTAATATTGCTTTTATTCAGCAAGGATGTGTTAAATTGATACAAAGTTATTTTGTTAGAAAAGATTTCTATTTTGTTGTTTGTTTGTTTTTCTATTTCTATTAAGCTGTTCTTTTGAACTTTTTATTAATCAATGAATCCTGAAAAAAGTATCACAGGTTCCAAAAAAAATATTAAGCAGCACAACTGTTTCCAACATTGATAATAAATCAGCTTATTATTAGAATGATCTCTGAAGGATCATGTGACACTGAAAATAGTTTCCAAACTTTTGACCGGTACTGTTGGCCTACATTATCCCGAATATTACACGGCTACTTCTCACATGAGTAAATAAAAGGCTTTATGTAATCAGCTAACCTACTAAGTTCACTTTGTTATTGGTGTTTTATGCTATTTAAATATCTTAGCGTTAGTGTGAAGAAGAAAAATTAAAAAACGTTTAAATATCAATCTGCACATGCGTGGGACATTGGTTATGCTCATTTTGCTTGCTCCTTTTAAGTTATCTTGAGTAAAACCAAAGCCCGTCTATTAGACATTCTCTGGTAAAACCGCAAAAAAATTCATGAAGCACATACAAAAGACCTGAATCGGAAGCGATGTGATCTGTTTTCCGGCTTGGTCACGTGATGCTCGGCACAAAGCCTATTGGACACAAAATATTGATTTTTGTTTAAATATTTTATTAGCAAACTGAACGGAACGTTCCGTGAAAAAAAAACACACAAAAAAAAACATTTGGTAGCAAAGCGGATTTAAGCCAAGACGACTGAAAAAATTCCAATTAAACGAACATTTTAAGGTTAAAATACAGTCATATCACTTATTTCACGGCTTTTCACCACATAATGGGGACAACTATATTGATATTGATTTGAGATAAAAACTGCTTTGAAATCGTAGGCTACCTGTTTATTGTCTCATAATCAATTAGCAGCTAGCCTACAGTACAAAACAATCGTCTTAGAAAAATGATGAACACAGCAACAATATTATTTAAACTTATATAAACAATATAAACTTTACTTAATACTTACTAAGTATTAAACTTAATAGTAGGCTACAGAACAGAAGTTCTCCGATTTCATTTTCAGTGCAATCGATAAACATAACAGGACGCAAGATGGCAGCAGTTGTGTATGGAACAAGCGAGCGAATCCGCCGCGGTGTGATGATGCGATTGCATTGCGAGATGAAAGTTCCTGGATGGGCGGTATGTTATTCAGCGTTGCTATTGACTACGGTTGTCATGGGGGGGGGGTGGGGGGGGGGGGGGAATGGGGGGGGACTGACTGACTGACCAATCAAAATCGAGCATACCCTTAATTTAGGACTACCCGTTCAGTTTGAGCGATGTCATGTGGTTTTGCTACAAATAACCCTGCCAGTTTGACTGAATTAGCTATAGGCTAGGCTAATCATCATGCTCTATCTTTGTCAGGAAAATAATGTAATGCTTGATATTACCTTGTCAATCTGTTAAGATATTTCCAGTCCAGGAAATATAAATATGAAAAAAGACAACAGACCGAATCTCATTCACATCTCTTTCCTGTTTTTGTCACATGACATCAGGTTTTGGGTAGTCAAATCAGGATGAGCTGGTCAAGCTGGTTTTACCAGGAAGTAGGCCAACAAAGTAGGCCTAAGTTTCACTAAATGTTATGCGTTTTATGCATCTAGTTCAAAAGGATTACAAGGAAGAAAAAAGTTTAGCATTAAATTCTTACGGTTGCATCAGATGCTGGCTCTGTCAAAAATCGTCCCCCACACCCTTAGCATATTGTGCTTTATGGTGTCCGAAACTAAAGTGGACATTTCAGGTAAACTGAGGGTGTTTTCACACTTGGTTCAGTTGCTTGATCTGAACCAGAGTTTGATTTCTTCCCCCCTCCTCCATTGGGCTCTGTTCACATTGTAATATTTGGGTTCGACCCGCGGTATCCTTGCGTCATCAACCTGCAGCCGCAAACCCATTTTGCTAACGGATGGATTTTTTCCCAAAATGAATCGTTGCTCACATCATTTTTATTTTTTTTAACCGTTGGCTTTGTTTCCAAAACGCCAACACATAACTGCACTTGTGTCTATCTGCAACGAATGAACTGCAAATGTTTAAAGAGCGTGTTCACATTAGCAGTGAAGCGTACGAACCGTACACCTCACTAGCTTTTTTTATGCAAACTCGGGTACGGTTCATGGGAGCGCACCCGAAAAACAGCGTTCACATCATCCAAACAAACCGAGCTCTGACGTCAATTGAGCGCGTGGTGCCCATCAAAAAGCACCTTTATTCAATCCCAAAATGTACTGTAATAACAAGTGTACAAACACTGCATACTCAATGACTAAATACCCATAATGCATTGAGGATTTTGATGAATGAATTTCCACAAAGCCATCTGTGTGCACAAGGTGTTTTATTTACTTATGATGTTTATTGTTTGAGTCTTTTTGAATTTACTAAACTCTCTGGCAAGTGGCAACATGAAGAAGCCTGTGTTAAATTAGTTTTGAGTGTGTTTTGGTCATTTTGTGGGTTCCGATTCGCTATTCGGTGTGTTCTTGAGGCACACCGTTGTGTCCAGGTTACAATCGCCTTATCAGGGCGAATGCCACTAATGACATCAATAATCCTGCCGGAGCCACAGCTGTGTGGAAGTGCTCCGGTGAGTTGGATCCTGGCTTGAGGATCTTTCCTGGTCTGATTTCTTTCTCTCCACTCCCATGATTTCCTGTCTGTCCTCCCACTGCCTCTCGAAATAAAATATTCCCAAAAATCTCCCTCACTCCAAAAAATAAGCAAGTCAATAAATAATGGAAGACGACAGATATTTGAAAAGATGCTTATTTTGTTGACAACAATTGCTGTAAAATATCTTTACAAAAGGTGCAAATATTGCTATTCATAACAGGTGGAAACTATTGCAAATTAGTTTGTATTATATTTGTAGGATGATGGATCAAAGTAGTAACTGGATTAGTAACTGCTTTCTCTTTTCTCTGTTTGGTTGAGGTTCATTTGTTGTGGCTTCAAACTATATACCTTCTACATGTAGCCTGACTGAACTTCTTTCCTATTCACTCACTGATGGGATGCAATCACACACGGACGAAGTGCGCAGTTTCCTAAATAATAATTAATTACGTAGGCAAGAACAAAAGTTCAGAAGATGGATTTATTACTCATTCAATATTTAAATGTTGTTCATTTAAAAAAAAAAAGAAAAAAGGTACATAGTGTACTTTAAAAATTGTTTGCAAAGCAATCTCTATTGTTATCAATGTATTATTTCTACTTACTGATTCATTCATCGAGTGAATAGTGTTACATAATCACAGCCACACCAACTTGGGCAGCGGATATTAACACAGACTTTGACCTGAGAGCTGCGACTGACTAACCCTAACCTTATATTAATAAATAGATATAAACTAATTGTTGATTAATATAGCCAATCAGAACAACAGATATGAGAGAACAGGATTAATGCATAGAAAATGCATCAGAATATGTGCATGCGATTTTCTTTTACTAACATGAAAGTGATTAATCTAAATTTACCTTGCAGTGTTTTGTCCTGCTGTTAATATCTGCAGGATCCTGATATTCTGCAGTCTGAACGTTTTCTGTGCGATTCCATGTCTGACTTTCCTGGCTTCACAGCAGTGAAAATACTTTCCAGTCTCACTCACTTGCTCAGTCTCAGACAACGGCCAAGAAAAGCATCAAATAAATGTCGACAATCCAGCAAAAAATTAACAGGGTGAATATAAAAACCCAGAGTCATTTTTATCGATACTCCAATATACCAGAGATAAAGACCAAAAGAGGATCTTTTTTTGATTTACTAAACCGAATGAATAATTATAAAAAGAATTAGATTGAGAACCATCACAACCAATATACACAACTTTTTGAAATGAAAAGTAAAATGATACTTAGGATCAAAAACACTGCATATCAATAGTCAAGTTTCCTGCAAATGATGACCTTTGATCGTTCACTTTGATAAACACCCTCAGTAATGATTGACATAACCAAAGCAAAGACCTACACACTGAATCATCAAAAACACAGCAACCTGAACACACACATGATGTCAATATGATGTCATGTGCATCGAATGGTAACCAGGATGGAAGAAACAAAACATTAAATTCACTTCTCGGACACTACTTGTGTAGCCACCTAACAATTAATGGACCCAATATAGGCTACTTCAAAACATCTTGTTATATTGTAGTTATACATTTAATGTTGCTCAATGTAATTACAAATATAGTTACACTGCAACCCTAAAGGGGTAGTTCACCCAAAATATGAAGGTTCTCTCATTCTGTCACTTGCTTATAGGTGTCAGTGTTAGAATGTAATTATGCATTCAGGTGTGTAATAATAACAAACTACATGTCCTTACTCTAGGGTTAGGATTAGGGTTTGGTTTAGTTATTACTACAGTCACATGTAACGTGTAACAAGGGCACTGTAAAATAAAGTGTTCCAGCTGTTCCAAACCCATAAGACTTCTGTGCATCTTCGAAACACAAATAAATATATTTTGAATGAATCTTAAAATCACCCTGTAGTCAATAATTGTGTCCCTTAAAACTCATCTTTGATCACTGAAATTACATATTTAAACGTTTTTCCTTGAAAATAATTTCACCCTTGCCTCATTCTATGTATATGCAAATGAGCCCCGCCTCCACTCACTCACTCAGCTCAGAGATCCACTGGTTGACGATCACACGTTGATCTGATTGGTTACAAGGGAGTTTGTGACGTCAGAAATTTTGAAACCGTGTTTTTGAGACTGTCTTTGGTTCAATGCAGTTTTAAGGAGAAAATACTCAGCAATGCTGTCGACTAATGAATTTACACATGGTTTGTCTTAAAGCATATTAAAAACACCACATAGACATATAAACAACATTAAAAGCTGGATTTTCACCACAGGGGGACTTTAAGAGATTTCTGTCCCTCCACAGATTAAAGTCCACGCAACCAAAATGAGCACCCACGATCTCGGTTGATCTTCCATGTTTGATGTGCTCTATGTACATGTGTTGATAAATTGTTTATATGTGTATAAAATCCTATTTTAAATCTGCTCATCAAATAAAGTGATTGTGCCTCTTCAGAAGACTTGGATTAAACCGCTTGTTTATATTCGTTTAGATGTCTTTTTGTACTTTGTGGTTGCATGGACTTTCAATGGATGACCAAAAATGACGAGAGAATATTGAAAATATCTTCATTTGTGTTCCGAAGATACACAGAAGTCTTCTGTCTTCAACGACATGAGCGGAAGTAAATGATGACAGAATATTAATTATTGGGTGAACTATCCCTTTAAATCTACCCTTAAACCGCCCTACCTTTAAACTTACTTCGTTCTAACCTGTATCCCAAAGTTAATAACAGCTAATGTTGGTTTGTGTGTGTTTGCAGAACAACATGTATAAATAAGCAGCTTACATTTTATAACATGCTTAATTATTAAATGCAAGTACATAGTAGTAAAAGATATCTATAAAGTAGGATCTAATTAACTAACTTTTTTTTATAGATGATAGTAAAGCTGATAAAATAGTCAGACATGCAACAACTGTCAGATTACTTTTACGTTTATATGGGAATATAGAATATTTTATACACAAAAAACATTCTGTGATTTCAAACACAATTCTAAACCATTTCTTAATGACTTTTGGTTTACAAACCAATAATAATATAATTTAAAAAAGAAAAATGTAAAAGGTGTTACTCTGCATTATTTATTAGACCTTTTGATGGAGATCAAACAAAAACCAAGTGCTTTAGCACTTGGAAAGTGAAAGAATTTAACGTGAATGTGAAAGTGAAATAACCTTTGTAAGATCATTGATATGACCCCCCTATATGTTGTGCAGTGTGCTTCATTAAAAAAAATAAGAAGTCAAATCTATATAATATTTGGAAACCAATAGCATTTTTGTCTTGTCAAAACGTGTGCAGGATTGTCTGTTCAGTTTTGTGACATTGTAAGACACTAGGATATGACATTATGAACACAAAGACTTCCTTCTTCCTAGAAGGTCTGGTGGTCAAACTGGATCTTTACCTGACCATAGGTGAGCGCCGGCTGACAAAACCTCTGCTAAACTCCCTCTTTAAACGCCTCATCTGCTTGTTAAATGCTAAATGATATGCTTGAACCAAAGGTATAATCTGACAAATTTGTAAATTTAGCAGTTGCCACCTCTTTTGTCCATGAAATACACACATTTTTGAAGCTCACCTACATTCATCACAGGTTAATGAGGAGAGACCCACCTCTGTTATTCAAAAGGAGTTCCTCCTATCTTCAAGAGTTTCGGACTTCAGCGTCTTTTTCTTAATCCAGCCAGAAGGTTTCGATTATGAATAATCACAACAGAATTTCAATGTGTCACCTGATTCTGAAGAAAACTCTGTGATATCTGACACTCCTTGTGCTTGTGTAGGAGTTTGTCCCATGTGACTTTACAAAGGGTGGAGTCTGGAGTAACGTCCACCAGGACTGGTGGAGCTGTCATCATGTGACAATACGCACCAGTGAACACAGGCATTGTATGTCACCTGGCAGGTGTGTTTTGAGTGTGTGTGTGTGTGTGTGTGTGTGTGTGTGTGTGTGTGTGTGTGTGTGTGTGTGTGTGTGTGCACTTGTGCTATTCCTGAGTATCTACTTTCCTCTTGTTCTTGGCAAATGAGTTAACCGAGCAAGTCAAGTCAAACAGTATAGCTTCAGAGACGACGGACTCTTTCTGTGTATAAATAAAGTGTAAACTGTTATACAATGGGAGTAAAGGGCTGAAATGCACAGTGGACTTGTGTTGCTTTCAAATCAATGTATTAAGCTCACCAAGAAATAAAAACCAAAACCAATTTACCAATCCATATTTTAATATACCATCCATTGCTCAGAAACCTTTACTTAGATTATGCAAGAACACAGCTCCCCATTATAAGTGATGTTTGATAAGGCATCACCATTAATATACATTACATTTACCTGACGCTTTTATCCAAAGCGACTTACAATTGCTATATATGTCAGAGGTCGCACGCCTCTGGAGCAACTAGGGGTTAAGTGTCTTGCTCAGGGACACATTGGTGTCTCACAGTGGATTTCGAACCCAGGTCTCTCACACCAAAGGCATGTGTCTTATCCACTGCGCCATCACCACCCAATTAATATTGCTTCTATAGTACGGCTTTTGCTCAAATCCATAATTCAAACAATGTAACTATAGTGCACAACTTGTCATGGACCATTTGTGTTACGAGCTCTGTTTTTTTAAATGTTTTGCCAGACACTTACATTGAGGAAGGGACACTTCTTCAGTCTAATATACATCAGGTTTCATCATGACCCGTCCCCCCCAAACTGGTTAAGGACAAACCCTGCCCTGCAGTCATCACAGAGTCACCTGTCAACAAAAGCTCAGACTTCATGGATTCAGTTCAGAGCTCAGAAATGTCTTGGATGGATCAGATCATGATAAACAGCAATGTTATCTAGGATGTGCCACCAAGGCTATACCAAGTGTAAACTTGCGCTCGATCTGCCCACCATTTGCCTGAAAGTCACACCCTTCTGTGTGCAAGATATTTCTAAACTCTTACTTTATTACCTTTTGGTTTCCTTCTTTGGGAATGAGACATTTGTATTAGTCGCACTGAGACATTTCAAATGATACCAAACGTATAAACCTCTGTTTACACCTGGCCACTTCATGCGTTTTCTCAGATCAGATCGCTATCTGATTTATCAAAATGATTCCATTTACACCTGGTCACATAAATGTGTTTTTGCAAAACGGATATAAATCCGATCTTCAATTCCCGCGCTATATGCAGATTTAATGGAGTGCACGTCACCGAAATCAACATATGAGCTGCATTTTATTGATCATCAGCTCATTTCAAAATCAAAGAGAGCAATAAGAGAGAGCGGCAACAGCCCTGGTAAGATCATTTCGTTTCTTTACTTTTAATGAAGATGATTGTGTGTTAAGCGTCTGCGACTTACTTTCACTTTGATTTGCGATAGTTTGCACGTTGGCTTGATGAATAGACGCTCAGCTGCTCATCTGCGGTAATGCGTGTTGCAGTAGCGTCATCTGACTATAACATGACATATATAGCCTATATAACACGCTCTCACACGTTTATTTTTAGCATTTTTGGGTGGAGTAAAATTTACATATGTGGTTTCAACAACCAGATGCACTTGTCCAGTTTCGTCTGGAATGCAGCCCAGACCACCTCCTGATGTGGTTTGAGCGATCGGATTCAAATCCGTCTCGAATGCGTTTCGGAGGGCATTTACACCTGGTCTTTTCACGATCGGATCACAGAAAACGCATGAAGTGGCCAGGTGTAAACAGCCCAATTGTTCACATTAAAACCATATATTTTGGATGAATTTCAGGTTATCTCAGCACGAGAGAGAGAGAGAGAGAGAGAGAAAGTAAAGAGATGTAGATTAGGATGATTCTGAGGTGAGACTGATGTGCAAGAGTGAGTTCAAATGGTAATTTCCTTTGTTCTCTCAGAGAGTAGCCCTCTCTTACAGTTCTTCCAGTTTTTTCAGTCATGCACAAGATAATGTCAGTCAGGGGTGTGTGTTCAATCCTGCTGCCGTAGGGCCGCTATCCTGTAGTATTGCTGTGTCCCAATTCGCCTACTTATACTATTCCCTAAAAGTATGTACTGTTTTCGAGAAGAAAAAGAACATGCTTTTGGGTGTGACTCAAAACATACGACAGGCATCGTCACAATTGCGTCTTTAATGGACCTCTCCCGTTCATCATTGTCACTGTGCAAACTGCCCTGTCAATCACCTTATCACAGTTTAATTCCTCCACATTCAATTGAATTTAAACCCTACCGTGTAAGAGAGAAATGTTGTAGCACGTTGATCTGCCAGTCGTGGCTCTTTCTTGCAGAGACTCTCCTCATGTGTTTGAATATGATGCATTTAAAACTTAAAGTCCCCCTGTGGTTAAAATCCAGCTTTTAATGTTGTTTATATGTCTATGTGGTGTTTTTAATATGCTTTAAGACAAACCATGTGTAAATTCATAAGTCGACAGCATTGCTGAGTATCTTCTCTTTAAAACTGCAGTGAACCAAAGACAGTCTCAAAAACACGGTTTGAAATCGCTGGTGTTTCTGACGTCACAAACGACCTTGTAACCAATCAGATCAACGTGTGATCGTCAACCAGTGGATCTCTGAGCTGAGTGAGTGAGTGGAGGCGGGGCTCATTTGCATATTCATAGAACTGCGTATACGAAATGAGGCAGTAGAGTTACATTCAAGCTATTTTAAGGCATGAAGAAAATCTTTTTAAGGAAAAAACATTTAAATATTTAATTTCGGTGATCAAAGATGAGTTTTAAGGGATAAAATTATTGAATACAGGGGGACTTTAATGACCAAACGCATCTTTACAAAAGTTCGCAATGCTGTTGATGAAATATAATGTGGGTAAACATTGTATAAATATATTTTCATCAGGCTATATACTCATTATTAATCACTTAAACTGCAAACCTCAATATGCAACCGTTGGACTCGCACATCTGCCATGCATGTAGTTTTTTTAACACTTTTTATCTGTGTTTGTAGTTCTAATCGAATCCTCATTCAACTCGCAATGGGGTTTGGGCAATATTAGCCATTAGAGTGTGCACGGATCCACACTTCGGACTCAAAAAAGTAGACCATCCGGGTATCTTTGGAATAGGCTACTCAACTTACTAGGATTTGGGACACACTATTCTAATTTCGAATACTATTTAGGACGGATAGTATGCGAATTGGAACACAGCATTTAGCTAAAACACACCAGACACACCCTAAATCTCAATGTCCATACTTTCCATCCTAAACAGAATGTGAGAATAAAATAAGTGTATCCTAAAGCATAGTATGTTGAAAAGTGTATGCCAGAAGTCTACTATTTCCGGTGGTTTTTGCGAAGTGTGGATCCGAGCTCACTACAGCTAATATTGCCCATCCAGTTCAGAACTACAAACACAAGTAAAGAGTGTTAAAAAAACTACAAAAAATGGCGGATGTGCGTGACTGACGATTAAGTAGAAGGGTTTGAGAGTGACTAATAATCAACATTTAAGCTAATAAAAAATATTTATGTAATATTATCCGTTAGGGCTGGGCGATATGACCAAAATCTCATATCACGATAAAAGTCATCTCATATCCCGATAACGATATATATCACGAATCACGATATACTGTAAAACTTCAAATAATAGCCCGGGCTTTTATTTTCCCAAATCGCCGAACTGCACCGGCTTGTATTTGAGGCAGGCGTCTATGAGACAGGCCTTTCATTTAATGTAGGCCTAGAGATAACGAAGATTACGTTTTATTTATAAATGTGTTTAACAAATCCGTTAATCTAAGAATTAGCCTAGGCTACTTTATTATGTCTAAAGGGGGTCGCTCACCGGACGAGAAGCGCGCGCGCCGTGTCTATAGCAACTCGAGGTATCGCACACCGGACACGCGCTGTCAGTTTATGGCCAGCAAATTGTTATGTTTAAGGACATTATGGAATTAAGATCATGTCTGTACTATGTTATGATAGTACTGTACAATTAAATACAATCGTTGCTTAGTCTGCAGTCTGAACACTTTACCTCAGAGCGTCCGTTAACTGAATGAATTGGGAATATCACCTGAAAATCCGATAACAGCATCAATTTGAATTCAACCAGCTGATTTCTGTAAATGAATGTACAACTAAATGTATGTTGCAGCACAGGGTGAAGTCAGTATATACATAACGATAATTGTACATTTAATATAACCATAGCTTTTAGATTATTGGCAGAATTAAAAAAACGAAACGATGTGACAGCCATGGGCTGAACAATACATTACTGGTAATATCCATCGAGCCTATGAACTTGTTGCCCGAAACACATCAACAAGAAAGAATGAAGGCTATACCCTGTAAAACGATCTCCTTCTCTCTCCAGCCTCCGCTAACTCTGCTTGCGCTAACAACTCCGCCCAGATGCGCGCAATCTGCACCACAGAACTGGTTTAAACAGACGATCTGACGGGTTTTAGAAGATTAAATACAAACCGAAACTAAAAAGCAGACCAGGCCTCTATTTGAGACTGGCGTTTATTTATCCAAACCACCCTAAAATGCCCTCGTTTAGGAACGAGCTCCTCGGTTTGTTCTGGCTGGTTCTTCTCCTGCTCGGAAACACCCGGTTCTGTCACCCCTTCATTCATGCTGTTATTCACGTTTCTGCCTGCATCCCCATGGTGGTGTGAAAGATTGCAGTCATCCAAATTTTTGCCGTAAACAATGTTTTTTTGCGACACCACGATATAAACGATATGGCATAATTTGAAACGATAGGCTTTTTATATCGTCCATCCGATATATATCGTCATATCGCACA